AGACATGTGGGCCTTAATTCAGAGGTCTGAAGCAAGACGTAAGAAGACATTGTGCATTGCTGAGATAATACCGTGTTTTTTTTTATAAGCCTATGAGGGAGGCGTATTCAACCCACAAAGGAGTGTGTAATCCTACTGATAACGTGAAATCACACAAGGCAAAAACAATCATATGTGACGACAAAAACACTGGATATCTGAGCCCAACAACTGCGACATTGTTCAACTCACTACTGTACTGGCATTGACACCATGTGAAATCATGTACTGATATGCTTTAGACAAATAAACTACAACAGAGAGTAGCATTTGAAGTCAAGTCAAGAGATCTCTGCAAGGTCAATATAGGTGCAAAACTGAATAAAAACCACTAGACCACATGTTGTAACGTCTCTGCCAACAGAAGTGTGCTCCAATAATTACACCATAAAACCCAAACCACCATCCTTTTATGTTCCTCACAAACAGGATGGAAGTTACAGCAGCTTCTCTGTCTCTGTTATCTGAAAAGAAAAGCTTGTGCATTGTTTTTTGTTCTCCCCTTGTCCTCGGCCATCTCATTTTAAAAGCTCCACATGCCACCTCTGAAAAAACACTACCTCTCCTCGCTGGAATTTGGGGTGGGTGTCTGTTGTGTGTGGCGTAGCGTTCAGGAACAAAAGAAAGAACATGCTCCGACAAGTTTTTGTCTTATGAGGAGGAGAAATCTGAGGATGTGGTAAAAAACATGGAGCATTAGTCATACATGCATGGGATAAATCTATTTGAGGCTTCGCCCTGAGCAGTCATCGCAGCCTGCATTGGCACTGACCTCATCAAAGAGCCGTGAAAACTGCAGGTATAGACAGATAATTTAGTAAGAATCCAAAGAAAGATTGGCTCACCTTTGAAATCCAAAACCACCACTAATTACTTTTTCCTTTTAAGCCACATATTGAATAACCTGCCAGAAACAACCCTGAAAAATCAGCCTTTGTTCATTGCTGGGTGTTATGTTCTCTTAATAGAGTGCAACAGGTTGTGTATTCAAATGTATACCAGACTGAGGTCACTATAATCCCCCTCGTCTGGCAAGTAAAGAGTGGGGGGCATTACAGAAAGTGAAATCTCCTTCAGTAAAGACCCGTGTTAAATGTAATGGCTGTTGGCAAAGGGGGCCTAATAAAGATGACAGCACACATTCATATGCATTCGTTTGTGTGCTCAGCTTGACGAAGTCTGCCCGCAGGCTTAACAAAGGGGAGGAAGGAAGCCAGGGGCTGTGGGGAATGCCTGGGGGTGGCTGGGGGGGGGCGACAATACACACACATACACACACACACTTAAACACACACAGTGGCCCTCCAGCTTGCATCCTGTGGTCTCTCAAGTCTGAAGTTATAGCAGTGACAGCTGGGCTAGCACGCTCTGCATGGGCTCATTCTCCCTTTAGCGGCGCCCCCTCCTCCTCTCTTCCACACACACACTTACTGTCTGTGACTCACCCACACAAACAAGTGCACACACACACACACACACACACAGACACAGGATGCTCCATCCTGTTTACTGTTTACATTTCACAGTGGCCGGCCAACTTGGGAGGGCTCTACAGTGCGATGATTACAGGCATTACAGCTGTTTGTAAGGTAGCGGTGTGGATGGTGAGTGTGTGTGTGTGTGTGTGTGTGTGTATACCCTTTGTTAGAATTTGGGATTAAACTACAACACATCGTTGAGATGAAAATTTCTTTCATTCCTACCCTTAAACAGCAGCCAACAAAACAATCTCTCTGTCAGGTCCACTACAGCTTTAATAGTTTAAGAGATGTTTGCCCGGTTGTCATGGCACTGTAGATATTTAAATTTCCATTTTTCCAGAGCCCTGCACGGACTTCTTGGCTTAAAAGTTGAAACTGAAAGTTCATTCATTGGAAACAGCAGCTGAGGAAGATTTTGCAATACCAAAAACTCCAGAATAGCTGCTGAATGGACCTGGTGGTGTTGTTTTAGAGCAAACTGTGTCACTAAATACTCAAATACTCATAAAATGTAAACATCCAGGGGTGTCCTCTAGTTCGCCATCTAGGCTCCTTCAAGGCAGAAACACAGGTTTGTTTATAACCTGCAGCCCTTTGCTGTGTGTCATTTCATCTCTGACTCCCCCCTTCTTGTCACTCTCTAGCTGATCTACACTTAAGGCAACAAAAACCCTAAAACATAATGGTTAAAAAGTGTGAACATCCAACCTAAACAATACAAAACCTTCCAGTAACTTGCATTTTATAATCGCACACTTTTAAGGATATGGACGTTTTTAAAAGGTTAGGGTGTCTTTTTCAGCTGCTAGCTTTCATTATGTGTTTTTATGGCACTGTGGAGGTGCTGAGTAAAGGTCTGTGCTGTAACGACCACAACTGTTCAGAGGAGGAAAAGGGAGGACCAGAGAGGGCGACTGGCGGTGTGGTCAACAACAATCGAATCATTATCTGACCAAAAGGGCACCTGCTTTGTTTGAGGTAGGTCTGGAGTCAGAGGGCGATGACACGAGACAGCTGGACAATGAAGAGCAAACATGAGCTAATGTTTATCCGCTCCAGGTCAGCACTTTGTGTTATTCTGGGGGATTTTTTTAAGTTAAAATTGGAGACATTCAGCACACTTTTTGCCACTTGTTGACATTGTGGAGGGCAGCTTTTATTTTTCAGTTTGAGATGGAGCATTCAGAGCTGATGGCATTTGGTTGATGAGCGATACCACACAGACACCAACAGAGGTCCCTCTTACATGGACAGTTCTCTACAGTCTACAGCTGCCCCCATGTGACAGGCAACAGCTAGGGACACTAACTGCAGCTGATAAAAGACGTGCAGAGGGTGGGGATTTATTCATTCACATCATTCATGTGTGAACTTTGATCAAACTCATTTAGATGTGCTACAGGAATCTGGTCTGTTAAAGTATTGTGCTTAGGTAACAACAAACAATTAGAGGTATGTTTAATACTCTAAAACTCTGACCCTTATAAATCAAGATGTGAAAGAGTGGCTTCTATCAATAAAAGAAATATTTGTCTTTTCCAGAAAAATTCTGTGACATTGCTTTGACTGAAATTATTCTGATTTTCTCTGCAAGTGTAGACTTTAATACTTTGCAGAGAAAGATGGATGAAAGGAGACTATACCCTTCTACTACCTCAACTCATTACTTTAAATCCATACAATGTCCAATCTAAATATCAACCAGTAATCAGTCTAATATCTACTGTGTATAACATACCAAATATGTTGGTTTGAGGTCCTCCACCCCAAAAATGTGAGAATAAAAAACTACATTTCCTGCATTGTGGTGATTTCTACACCAACTTGTGCCTTTCTGCATCAGTTTAAGGTGTAAATGTCTTTAACCCAGACAAATAAAATTCATATAATTTAAAATGTTAGCTTAATAGTTTAATTTTCACTTTTACTTCAGACTGGGCTTTGACCTGTCATATACTCCTCAGTCAAATCAGCCTGCTCTCCACAGTGTCCACTGGCCATAAAGATAAGACTGAACTTTATTTATCCTTAGGGAAATTGTTGCAGTTGCACTATAAAGTAGAGCAGAGTTCAAATATAAAGAGTGTACATATAAAATATCAATAATGGGGCAATGGTATAAACTATAATTACTTACACATTTCACCTTGTAACAGGCAATTACATCATTTAAATTTGTGAAATTCCCTCCTCCGATAAACTTGCACTTAGGTCCAGTGAGAACTGAGACCCCCATGGTAACTCAATCTTGTCAATGAGGGTCTTGCACTTGATTTTCCGCAGCTGAAGTCGATGGGAAACCCCCTTTTTTCCCAGAGCTAGTGGTTCTCAAACTTTTTTGTGCCACAGACCCCTACACTGATAGTGGTCACCAACCATAAGACTTCACTTGAGGAACCTCCATTTGAAAAGATTTTGGTCATTAGATATGATTAAGACCAGAATATTGTAGTTGTCAGCTACAGCTAAGGCAACAGACGTGGAGGAAGTGAAACCAGTGATCAGAATAGTCAATCATATGACTTTTACTGACATTGGGCACACCTCTGCTGAATTACATAGTAAAAACAAACAATTCCTCACTGTTATAGGGACCCCTGGAACTCCCTTAAGGGACTCTGGTAAAAGTACTTACTATGCAGAATGGGCCGTTTCGAAATCATATATTTTATTACTGGTTTATAATATTGATGCATTAATACACCCATTTTCAAAATTCATACATGTTATTCCTATGTTAAGGACAGTCCAAAATATTAATAAATATGAGCAACTATCTCACAACTTGCTATAGAGGCTGGAGCTGCTTAATAGACAATGAATTGTATATGGAGCAGCTCCAGACTTTATACTTGAAGACATCAAAAGTTTGATATTTACTTCTCTGTGAGTAGATTATGTACACAAATATTGATGAAACTCTCTTAACCCATGAAAATAAAATATTGGAATTCTTAATTTAGGTGTTGTTCCCCTTTAATGTTGCAGCTGGTAAAGGAAGGGCAATAGGCTCCTTTAAATAGTGCTGGGAGTCTTACCTTTGATAATATATCATAGTTAATTAGGCTTAGCTAATTTATATTTTGTAATAGGCCCAATCTAAATCTGCAAAGTAACTTAGTAGTATAATATAGTACAAAATCACTCCTAGGGGTCCAACAGTAAAAGTACATATTATGCAGAATGTCTGTTCCTAAATTTGTCCAAAACTGAGCAGAAAGTGAACAACTACAAAACAAATGTAACAGTGTTTCAGGTTCATTGTTGCAAAATGTACACTGTTTATCTGAGTCAGCAAATCCTGACACCATTAGAAGGGCAGAAGGTGTGCAAAATTTAAAAACATATCTCTTTATTTTGTTAGAAATACAGAATTTGAAGATGCAAAGCCTTCTGCCGTTCACTGTCACATATTTGCAATAAAATTTTCCTCTTGGTGAGATCAGCGGCAGGACCGTGTCACGTGACCGCTGCAGGAAACGTTTATTGATGGTGTGCAGTCCTTCATGGCACCACGGGACAGGTTCGTATCCAATTAACTTTCTACAGTCTGTCAGCTGCCTTTACATGTGTTACTCTGTAGTTTAGTCTCATGAACAGTTTTAGCTGTATTGCAGGTATTGGTAAAAGGATTGTGTGTTTGTAGCGTTAGCGGAAGTGAAATTTGACAGCTAGCAGGTGGAATCGTTCACGTTTCCTCCGCTGGTCATCTGTCGGTGTGTGTGCTGTGTTTTCACCACACAAGTAATGAATGACTCGTTAATAACAACGAACTAGCTTCTCTAAAGATGCTCAATATATCACCTGACAGCTTATAGACTCCACTGACTCCCGTGTTTGAGGTTAACGTTAACGGTTACCTACGCTAACGTACAGTCTCGAGCCAATAACCGTTGGTCAAGTTCCTACAACCATCATTACTATAGCTAATGTCGTCCTTTACAACCGTTTGAAAACCCCGACAGGAGAAATAATCACACCAAATGTGTTTCTGTGCTGTTTTGAGTCTTGTTTGGTGAGACTACAGTGACAGGAAAACATATTTTGCAGGGAGCTACAGGATTCAGCGCAACACGTGTAAACAGGATGCGTTCAAGGAACCTTTTGAACCGGACATAAGTGTGTGTGTGTGTGCGGTGTTCAATGTCTCAGCCTGACCTGCAGCAGTGGCGCACACAGACACTTTGAGGGTCTGAGACACCAACAAACCTGGCAGAAGTTTGTGTTGTTATTATTAAATGAGAGTCCCAGATTCAAGATGACATAATCCCTTAAAGAAACAATCGCTGTAAAAGAAACAAACCTTGTATGGCACTGAAAGTCAACACAAACATGGAAAGAATCACATCTGTGAAAGTAATCAGTATTCTAAACTGGACCAGCGAGGCACAACAAAATATGTTTATATATTTCCATCCATCCATCCATTTTTATCTGCTTATCGGAGGCAAGGTCACGGGGGCAGTAGGTCAAGCAAAGCACCCCAGACATCCCTCTCCCCAGCAACGATTTCCAGCTCCTCCTGGGGAACCCCAGGGCGTTCCCAGGCCAGACGAGATATGTAATCCCTTAAATCCCTTTTTCCTTATCCGCTGCGAGGGTCATAAGGACAGAGGGATGTCGTATGCTGTAAAGCCCTGTGAGGCAAATTGTGATTTGTGATATTGGGCTTTATAAATAAAATTGATTAATTGATTGATTGATTAAGCGTGTTCTGGGTCTGCCCCGGGACCTCCTTCCAGTGGGACATGCCCAGAACACCTCTAACTGGAGGTGCCCAGGAGGCATCCTGATCAGATGCCTGAACCACCTCAACTGACCCCTTGGCCTTTAGACACAAATGAGCAGCAGCTCTCCTCCGAGCTCCTTCCGGATGTCCGAGCTCCTCACCCTTTCTCTAAGGCTGGGCCCAGACACGCCACAGAGAGAACTCAGTTCGCGCACTTGTATCTGCAACCTCATTCTTTTGGTCACTACCCAGAACTCATGACCATAGGTGAGGTTTGGGACGTTAATGGACCAGTAAATCGATAGCTTCGCCTTCTGGCTCAGCTCCCTCTTCACCACGACGGTCCGCCACAGAAGCTGCACCAAAACGCTAATCCATTTCACGCTCCATTCTACTCTCACTCGTGAGCAAGATCCTGAGATGCTTGAACTCCCTCGCTTGAGTCAGTAACTCTCTAACCTCCATTTGCTGAATTGGGAAAAGTCTGAATGTACAATAAAAAAAAATAAAATGAATACGGTATGTGTAAGAGATAATCAAATTCTGAAGTTTTTCACTAGCTATAACTCTGGTAACACCTGAGGGTTTACGTCATACCTGGAACAATCATAATCGCCCCATAAGGTTCTTATGCAATAGAAACATTATTCACAAGTAGTGAACTGAATAGGGAATGGGATGTGACATGATCACTGATGTGATACAGAGTAAGTTCAGAGGGCCAGTGTACTTCTCTCAGCTTGTGTGTAACAGTCTCCATCCTGTGGTGGTCACACGATGAGGCACTGAAGACTACACTCAGTGTGGGAAATAAATTGTAAACAGAGGCTTTGACTGCAACCATGTTGCTATGGTTATGGTTACAGGCTGATACTGTTATGTAGCCAGCACATTAATTTAGAACGGTGACCCGACAGTGTCATTGGAACTACTTGGTAGATGTCCATTATCAGGTTTTAATGGACACCCTGCAGCCAGTCAGGACCAAGTTTACATGAAGACCATGGTATAAAAATCAAATAAAGGTCACCACAGAAAGTCGCCATTTTTGTTTGGTGGATGGAATACAGTCACACCTTGTGAACGAAGTTAAAAATGTACTTAAACACCAGAGGGAGTCATTTTTATGCCACCTGGATACAGTAGATGAGTTGCAAAATGTCCGCCTAGTTTGTTTGTATTTTGTTAATTATAAATCAGTGGTTTATGTACGTGACCTCAGTGTAATCATTGTGCAACATAAATAATAAATTGAGACAAAAGGAAGCCATATGCGCTCTCATCCAGTGTTACCAGTTTGACCGTTGGCTGCATTTGCATGTCTTCACCTTCTCATTCATGGGTTGAGTTTAATGGCCAGTTGATAGTGAACCAAGAGGTTGAACTTTGCATAGAAACGCAAAATTGGACAAGGTGCTGATGACAGATAAATTGACTACCAAATTAAATTATTCCAATCTTCACTGTATGAAAGAAAGTATCTTTAGGATGCCTCTATCATTCACAGGCTATTCACAACGATAATACTGCACATCTGTTTCCTTTGTAGTGCACTCTGTCAGTTGGTTAGTGGGTTGGTTGGTTGGTCCGCTGAAATTTTGCATGGAGCTTGATGATATCAGATAGGCTCTTTTTCCCAGGGTCACAAGTTTACAGTCATAAGTTGGAGCTGAAGGCTAATGACTTGGCAGGACCAGGACATGTGCCGCATCTTTTACTGCCTGGAGAATGTGAGGTCAGTGCTGGGAGCTACTCTTGTGCCTACTCTTGTGCCAGGTTCTGAGGGTGGAGAGGCAGTTTGTGCTTGACATTGCTAAGTAAGGTAAGGGTTAGCTTACTATACGGACTGTTTACTAAAGAAACTTATTATTGAAATCACAATGTGGCCAAGTGCAATATCCAAATCAAACTTCTTTGATAAAGATAAAATGTGTCACAACATACCTTTATAAATGAAGCGCTGTGATGCTAGACAGATGCCCTGGCCTACAGATTATATTCCAGATGTAAGGGAACATGCTTTTTTGGTACAGACCCCAGCAAAAATCACCTTATCATTTTTGAGATTTTATTTTTTCAGTGAAATGGAAACGCAGAAATTACCATTTCCACTAAATTCACCACTCATATCATAATATTTGTCAAAATAATCTCAATATTGTGTTTTTTGCGTATCACGAAGCCCTACAAAATATTTAAAAATAATTTTATTGATTCAAAAGTGATTAATTGCTCTGGCTAAGTATCTTTGATCAGAACTGCATCCATTACAACGGTCTACTCTTCAGGAATAACAGACCATAGAGTGCTGTAATCGACCAAGAGACATCTACAAGTCAGTCGATTCTTTTTTTTTAACGCCACAGTCCCTTCCAAAATGACTTGTTTCACTATCAGGATTTGATTCATTAGGTCCAATAACATTTAGAAACTCTAGAAGAGCAGCAAGATTAAATCGTGTTATCACCATTCATGTTAGTGGAGTGCTAAACTGGAAGTTGCCGGCTTGACTGGTCGAAGTCTCTCATGCGCTTGCTCTGTGGGCCCAGCGATGCAGAAGCAGCACTGATCATCCGAGTAATTTCATTCCATTGAAATTGAGCTTTTATGGCATCATTTGCCACTGACTTACTTTTATAGGTATGAACCAAGTCCCATCTCCTGTGCTGTATCCAGGTCTCTTAATACATCCATGAACCAGCACTGAATCATAGCCCACAATAAATCCCAAGTTTGGAGCAGATACTCCAGGCGTTTTAAAAATTAATTAAATTATATATCTTCTGAGACAGTTATCATACCGTGAAAATCTCATACCATTGCAACCCTAGCCCCATGACATGTGGTGCACTTTGCTGCATTCCAAAACTTTAACTTTTTTTATCCTAGAGTGCAGCTGTAGCATCCTGAAAAACAGACGTTTGGTCACGCTCATTTTTAAAATCAAGGTAAAGCAAAAATAAAAATGTGTAATAATGAGTTTGTCGTAGTTTTTTTTTTAAAAAATCACCAAGTACATAAGATAAGGTTTCAGAATTATGAAAAATGAGCAGTATTTTCTGCTCTGAAGCGTTGGAGCGTGTCCACTGAGGGAGCTGAAATGAGATGAGAAGATTGAGCTGCTGTGAAGTGACAGACTCTCATCAGCAGCTAATTTAGTAGCACAAAGCACACGTCCCACAAGCTGAAGAACAAGCTACTTTAGAGCGACAGACTCTTATTCAGCAGCTAAGTAGCACACACAGTCTATGGCTGCCCAGCACCACAGAAGTAGAATGAGAGGAAAATGGACATTCCCATTCAAATCAGCTAATTAGGATCATGTGAGAGGCAGCCGTTTTTGTGTGAACTGTTGCCATTGCGACTATTGTAGCAAGCTAACTTTCATATATATAAGCAAACCGACTTGCGGCAAGTTGCAAACTCACAAAATTAAAGATTCTTTGTTGGGTGAAAAACAACAATTTGACTACTGTAAAACCTCCAGCACCAGTTATTTATATGAATACATTTTTAAAATTATATTCTACATAGAGGTAGGGCTGATCGATATTTATCACGATATATAATTTGATAATGCTGCAGGTTTGAAAAGTATCCTGATAATGTCTGACAACTGAAGAAACAAAATGATTTTCCAGCTTCCCACGACACTCGCTGTAAAGCTGGGGTGGAGCAGTTTGGGAAAAATACTTCCTCCCTTGGAGCTCATACCTGCAGTCTAGCATTTTAATTAGTTTCTTGAACCTGTCTTTCTCCACGGTGTTCATGAGCATTATGTCCTTGGCTAGAAAGTATGGCACAGTGTCTGTTATATCTCTGCTCCTTTTCAATCGCTTCTCATACGGGGTTACGCCGGCAAAAGAGGACGCTATTGATCACTATTTTTGAGCAGCCCCGCTAGCGCTGCCCACAGCAGCAGAGGTACCAGGCCGTTGGTTGAGCAACATTTTGTTGGAGGACTTACTGCAGTTCTGGCCCGAATTTTCATGCTTTCAGTGTAGTCGCTGGGATGCCACCTTTTCGGGTGATCGAAAAGTTTTGTTACCTTTCCCGTCCACATGGCACCAACCAGCGACATATTTTGAAGACCATCTTTGTCCGTGCACCGTCACCTTTCAAGTAGCCAAACCACTTCCAAATTATAGACATTGTTCAACCTTTTTTATTCTCAATTTCGTCCATTTTTGAGGATAAGAGCCCTTCTTTAGCTTCACCACCACTTTGCTCCTCACTCCTTTTCCCCTCTTTTCGTTATGTCCACGCTACTTTCAATTCCTCCTTACCTTGGCACAAACTTTGCAGTGAAAAAAGGGCATGTACAATGACGGGCATCCCCAACACTGCAGACTGACTGACAGCTGTCTGTTAACTTCTGCTGCATGACACGCTCTTTGGATCTATCTAGGTCTATCCTTGTCATAGTCATCGACATACATTGCGACCCTGTTTTGAGAGTATTTTATCACCCAGCCCTACTTAGAGGTTCTTGGATGTACAGTACAAATGTCAACCCAATTTCAGTGAAAAATCAGCAGTGAGGCTCGGAGCTATAGGATGTTGCAAGGTCTCATCAGTTTAATAGAAGTTTTCACATAATTTTTCCAAGAACGTCCATGACATGAGCTGGTAGATTGTCCTGGGTGAGCTGGTGTAGAATGAGCCATAAATTAATCAGTGTGGTGCGTGTTTGTGGTGCTCTGTTGTAAGGGGAAAATTTTTATGCTGATAAAAAATGAAAGCAGCTTGTGACTGAGGAGGAATCATGTGTTGGAAATAACTGGGTAAATTCTGGGGAGGAAGAATGAAGTCAATAACTAAATGAAGATAGCTTGAATGAGGATAGTGTGCTTTCAATTGATATGCCATTTCATTGATTCCCATGGGGGAAATAGGGGAAAGCACAACAAGAAGAAAGAAAATCCATGACATGAACTTTGAGGTCCTCCTAGGTTAGTTAATAAAGATCAGATCAGATTAAAAGGGTACTTTGGAGTGTGTATGTGGTGCACTGGTGTGAGGGAAGATTTTCTGTGGTGGTAAGAAATGAAAGCAGCTTGTGACTGAATTGTGTCTTGGTGTTAACTGGATAAATTCTGGAGAAAAGGAATGAAGTCAGAGGCTGAATATAGATAGTATGTTCCCAGATGATATGCCACATTATCGATTCCAGCAAAATAAGTGGAAAAAGTAGTAGCCTGGGGGTCAGTAGAGAGAAAGATGATAAGAGCACAAGTGGTTGGCTATGTAGTTTAAAAGGAGCAACGCAATTAGGAATGAAAAGACACAATTTATTGTCAAGTAGGATTTTTCCAGTTGCCTTGTGTTATGATGTTATCAGTCTTTACACAAGATGTGGCAAGCTGCAAAGGAAAAGAAAGGACTGGAGCACACGGATCAATCTACAGCCTTTAGTGCAAACAGACATGTGGAAAGTGTTACTGTTAAGAAAAAAATAAATATTTTCACTGCAGTAATCACTGACGAAGTAAATCGAACATAAAATTCAGCTGTTTTTGAAACAGTTAGCACTCATGAGGTGGCCTTTGCTGTTTGCGTTGCCACTGTGTAAACATGATTGTGGAATGCAGGGATTCCAGATGTTGCACTCAGTCATAAAATGAGCTTCATTCCGTGGGTGTTCTGCTCAACGTGTACAATTTTCAGTCTCCCTAGAGAGGGAGAGAGGAAAATAAAATGTGCTCTGTCATTAATCAGGTTTATAACACCTAGGCCTTGGCTATTACTGTAGCTCCTTATGCTACGCAGCTGCAAAAATACATTTAGAGTCTTTTTTTCTTATGACAAATGTCAGTGACAGTTGCATTGAGATACTGAGGATTTTAAATGCGTGTCAGTGTCCCCTTTGCACTTTGCTGTGCACATTATGATGAGTAGAAGAGGTTTTCCCTCTGACTCCTATCAGTCTTTTGGATATGAAACAGTGTGCAGAGTGTTTGCCTGTTCAAATGTCCTACTAGGTGTTAAATGTTTTTAGGTATTTCATTGGCGGCATGGTGGTGCAGCATTGTCATCTCACAGTAAGACGGTTCCCAGCTCAAACCTGGAGTCGGGGAGCCGTTCTGTGTGGAGTTTGCATGTTCTCCCTGTGTCAGCGTGGGTTTTTTCTGGGTACTCCAGCTTCCTCCCACTGTCCAAAAACTTGCAGACTAGGTTTATTTGACTGTGATGCACTTTTTTGATATTGTAGCTTCTACAAGAGATTGCTGCCAAACAAAATTTCGTTGTATATTTTTGTGCAATGACAATAAAGCTTCTTATCTTATCTTAATTGGTGACTCTCATTTGCCCATAGGTGTAAATGTGAGTGTGAACGGTTGTCTGTGTCTTTGTGTCAGCCCTGTGATAGTCTGACAACCTGTCCAGGGTTTACCTGCCCCTCGCCCAATGTCAGCGGGGATAGGCTCCAGCCCCCCCGTGATCAGAAATACTTTATTCAACAGGATAAGTTGTTACAGAAAATGAATGAATAAATACATGAATGAGGTATTTTACTGCATCAGTGTCCTCAGCCTGGGCAGAAGTGTAGGGTTTTGGCCATTTGTGTCCTCTGCACGCCATGCAGTGTTGAAGTTACACTTACCACACAGGCAAAAGTTGACTGCTTTGAAGTAGTGGATGCCACACATACAAAACATGGCTTAACAACAACATTTTTTTTTTTTTTTTTTACATATTTACATTTGAACCTTACTTATATCATTCTTTACGTTATTATTGGCCTTAAATTTAAAAAAAAAAAAAAAAAAAAAAAGTTGCCCTGACATGGGTTCCTGTGGCCTGGCAGGCCTGTACAATCATAAAGGAAACACTGGTGTTGCTGTGAACTGGCCAGGTTATCATTGTGTTGATAGTCAAAACACACATGCTTACGGGTGGCAGTTCTTTGCACCGCAGCACGCATTGTGTGTTCTGTGTTTCACTGAACACCCATTGTATGCCTCTGTGCTGGAGTCAGCTGTGGTCAGAGGCACCGTGTTTTTGGTATGTCTGTCTGTCCATCGGTCATCATGTTATTTTTGGCATTAAAAAAATAAATTTTTTGGCCTGGCGGGGGTTCCTGTTGACCCGGTGGCCCAGCAGGCCTGTACAGTTATAGAGGAAACACTGGTGTTGCTGTGAATTGACCAGGTTATAATCTCAGGAAAGCCCTGGGGGGAATTTCCTCAAATTTCAACATCCACTTGGACTCATTGTGACCTTACAAAACATATTTTTGGCCATTACTTAATAATTCATACAGTAATCATGACAGAATTTTACACAAATGTATAATACAAGAGATTACGGACATTTTATATCCAAGGGCTCTGATTTTGACCTTCGTCCTCCTCTGCCACAACTGCCTCCACACTGTCCTGTTCAAACCTGATCACCTAGCTGGCCTACCTCAACAGCCTCCAAGCCTTTATGCACAAGCTACTACAGACTGATAAAAGATTTGCAGGAGCCTGTTGCACAAATTTAAGGATCTGAGTGTCCTCAAAAATCCCGTCTGCTCTGTCATGGATGAAGACCTGAAGATGGGGCCTCCTGTTCATCTGGTAGTCTTGCTGATATTGAGCTCCAAGTGATTGGTGTTGCAACATGTGATGAAGCTCTCTATCAGTCCTCTGTACTCCTCTGTAAAAATAGCCTGTGAAGTGAATGCGGCATGTTTCTCACTGGAAATTATTCACTGGAATGATACTTCCATTTCACCAAAGAATACATGTAATACTTTTTTATTAAAGTCCTTCGAAGTCATCTCTACATATGTTATGAGTCTGGACAGACATGGATGTAAACTGCAACTTAAATGAACTGATTGGCGGAGAAATACAACCGCGAGGCAGTAATTCTAGTTTCCAACATATCCCTTTCCCCAACCCAGTTGGTCCATTCCCAGTATCTGACTAAGGAGTATGCCTTTGCTACAGCCTTTTCCTTTCTTGCTAAATCAATGATTTTAAAGTTCTTGCAAAATCGTCAATCAGTTGGTCTGACATTCCCGGCACACTATCAACAGAACTGTTGTTTTACAGGAAGCCCAGTGCCCCTGAGCAAAGTACAAAGTCTACACCACTGCTTCACCAGTAGTAACTGATCATTACGCTCATGACAATACCACAACACCACATCAGTGGCTCTCAGGAGACTACAAAACAGCTGCTGAAGGAGACTTTGCTGAGTCATTTCATTTGGACCATCAGCCTTTGGAGATCTGTGTAAGTTTCAGCATATTTGAAGGTTGTATTTACTATTGCTTTACATTCAGTCTTCAAATTATTGATCTGTATTGGCTAATTTTGGTTGTTTAGTTGTATGTTGATGGGTTTTGGGTGTTACAAAAGAATACAGCAGTGTCTTTTGCATGTGTACATTGTTTTGATTCTATTTCTCAGTTGTATTTTTTAAGCACAGTTCCCAAATATTTGCTGGTTCTAGCCTCTTAATTGTGATGGATTGCTGCTTTTCTTTGTTGTTTGTGATAGTAAACTGAATAGGCTGACCAAACGTCCTCTTTTGCCCGGACATGTCCACTTTTCACGTCCCGTCCGGGGCGTCAGGGTAGGGCTGGGCGGTATGACCTAAAATTTATATCACGGTATAAATCGAATCCCTTCACGGTAACGGTATATATCGCGGTATAAATTTAAGTGTAAAAGTTATAATAGAAGTGTTTCTGAATGGGTTTTGTAGTCCCTTAGCAAAGCTAAATTGATAAAAAAAAAAAAAAAAAAACAACAACAACAAAAGCAAAGATATAATGTATTTTTTAGAGCATTTATTGTGCAGAATGCAGACCTCAAAACTCAAAATTAAAACCCAGTACTCTATGGTGCAAAATGTCCCCTGGGATCCATATCAAAAGGTAATTTCCTTCTTTTAACAAAATCCTAAATGACTGAGTTGTGTTTTTTCCACCTGGACCTTTATGCACTGCCATTTCTCCTCTAATCATCAGGCTGTAACCTGTGACAGGCTGCTATGATACCACAACTATCACACATTCACATATGGAGTTTTTTTGTAGAGCCCCTAGCGTCACATAGGTTTACATTACCAAAGGTTTATGACAAACTCTCTTGCCGAAAACCAACTCCCGTGTGCGCACGGCAAGAGAGGAGAGGGAGAGACGCTGTGCTGCTGCCAGAGGAGACACTGAATGAGTTCCCTCTGAGTGGTAAGTCGCTAAAAGAGTCTGAGAAGTCCGGGGCTGTTCATAAAACATTAACTCACTCACTCACTCACACGTTATCCAGCAACACATGTTGCACGTGCTACGCTAAATCACGGACGTGAACCAGCTCCTCTTGCTCCGCTGTCTCTGTGCTCGCAGCCATTTTCACACTGAGGCAGGTGCGATGGACGATAGGACGGTAGAGCGCAAATCTCTACCGTGGGCCAAATTTATATCATTTCTACCGTCTACCGCATAAACCGTGCAGCCCTACGCCGGGGGGGGGGGGTTTATAAACTGATGATAATGTCCGGTTTTCCGTGTGTTTGTGTGTGTGTGTGTTAGAGTGCGGCACGGACAGCATATTTCTGTCCGAACCCGAACCGAGCCCGACATTATTTAATGACCAAAGCACTGAGTTTGTGTCACACAGTGGTTACAGGCTATTTAACAGGCCGGGCGTGCGCCGTGTGCTCAGCTGCGGAGAGGGAGACCTCTGTGTTTGAGACGGGAGCGGGAGGCGGGAGGTCCGACGCTTCTAGCGGGAGGAGAGGGAGAAATAAAACAATATAAGATAAAATAGGAAAAACCTGTCTCCCTCTTTTATTTTATTTTCAGCGTTTAATCAAGGCGGAGGCGGGCGGCTGGAGGTCTGAGACTTCCAGAGAGGGGAGAGGTAGAAAGAAACACCCAATGTGTGTCTGTTTGTGTTCTGTTCAGGTGTTGTCACGTAAATAACAGTGCCCAAGCAATAAACAGGACAGACAATAGGATTTTATTTATTTTTACACTACATTTTCACTGAAAGCTGACTGAATCCGACCCGAGCCCGAATACAATTTATAGCTACATTTTTGACCAAACGCGGCCCGACCCGTCGGGTACCGTCGGGCTCGGATTGCCACACTCTAGTGTGTGTATGTGGCCCCTATTGGGGCCTATCTGAATTTCTGTCTTTGAGAGATATTATTTTGTAATATAACTAAATTTTCTATCCATACATATAAATTTTAAATATATTAAAATTATAAGGCATCTTTGAGTAAACTGCGAGTAGGCCTATCATTTAAGTAGCTAGGCTATGTCGTGGCCAGCCGAGTGTCCTCTTTTTTGGAAATCAAAATATGGTCACCCTAAAACTGAACATCTTTGGGTTTTGGGCTGTTGGTCAGGCAAAACAAGCATGCATCACCTTGGGCTCTGTGAAATTATGCTAAGTATTTTTCACTATTTTTGACAGAACAATCAAGAAAATAGACGATAATTTGATAATGAACTAGAATTACTGCCTAATGTTTGTATGCCTTTCAGTCAAGTTGCAGTCCTCTGTCTTCACCCATATGATGTAGATTTGCAATGGTATGAAATTTTCACGGTACAATAACCGTCTCAGAAAACATCATTTCATTGGTTTCATGGTATTACAGACTTATTATAAGTCAGAATGACCCTTAAAGGAGTTCAAATGAAGGGTTTTTTTTTTTTTTTTGGTTGAACAAACGTCTTATTATTTGAAACTTGAAACCATTTTTTAAATAAAAGTATAAAGTCTCCCTTTTTAAAATGACTACAATAATGTTGAGATTTTCTGTCCAGTTGCATTTTATTTTTATCAGTTTCATAGATAAGCAAATGTACACATCAATTTTAATACCACGGTATACCTTGAAAATGGTGGACTGTTGCAGCCATATATGTAGTGAAGACTTTTAGGGAATTTAATAAAATGTATTACGTGATTTTATTGTTGTATGATTCCAGTGAATTATTTCCAGTGAGCAACAAGCTGTCTTCACTTGGAGACTATTTGTGGGCACCTAAGATGAGTGTGACCTATTAGATATCCGACCAAATGTCTCCTCTTCTGTTCCCGATTTATGACCTTGAATATGGCCTGAAAAGTGTTTTATCAGAACATTATGATGCCCCCATAAAAGTGACCTTATAGATATAAAATGTCATAATTTCATCATTTAATCCTGTTAGACATGCATAAAATTTTGTCAGAGTTATCTCTGCCAGGCATATGCCATGGTTGCAGTGTTTCATTATTGTTGAAAAACCTGTTGTATTGACTGTTTCGTTCTGTCACTGACTGTTAAGCCCTTGCTTTTCTTAACCAATTGGAAGGGGTCACAAGTGATCAACAAAATTGCATTGCAGCATAGAGCAAATAGTATTCCCGGCAAATGTCTCAGCTAGAAACAGCAAGCCTTTCGGGCTGTTGCGGGCTACATTTTGGCCTTTATCATGACTCTGCAGACTAATTTCATACCCATATCCTATGATCCTATAAAGTTAGGCATAATACCAGATGAATAAATTCCCATTTTTGTTGTCTTCGCCGTGGCCACAGCTGAACCGTGCATTGCCTAGAGTGGTCATGATCAGCTCCAGCAGGCACGTGACAGCCAGAACATACCCTTCTGGCAGAGATCTGCACTGTACTGAATTTGGCCCTGATCACACAGAAAGCATTACAGCAGCTGGAGGCAGCTTTTTGCAATTGTTTTAATGAGAATTAAGTTTTTCGCTTGCTGTTTGTGCATTGCTATGTGCTTCGCGTCTCTGCACTCTAGGCACCTGGCCTTTTTGAGTTTTGAGTTCCTTGAATTGACAAAACTTCAACACAGAGCGGCAAAGCGCCCTGCATCATCTCGCTTTTTTCCCATTGTCCAATGGGATGATTTGAGATGCAGGCCTTCTGTGGTGGTCACGACAACAAGTTTACAGTTGGTAAACAATGGAGGAGAAACTCAGTTGCTGGATACCCAGAAAGTTACAACTTTGCAAACCTCAGTTACCATGATCTCAACAGAAAACAGCAGGCGTTGAAGCATTTAAGTGCAGTACTTGAAACGGCCATCATCAAGGGGAAGCTCCTGGACCAACTGGTGGTACTCCCCTTGATCCACCCTCTATTTCAGGGTCTCATGTACCCACACAGGTCTCTGTTTCCCTGTGCCCAACACACTATTTGCTGACAGCCTCTCACCAGAGAGCTACAACAAGTACCCTCTGTCTGTCCATTTTAGTAACTAGCTACTAATGACTGTGAAATTAAAAAAAAAAAAGGTAGATTATAAGGGAAGGTGGCATTCAATTAAAAAAGAAAAAGGCAGTGCAGTGTGCCTCGCATTTTGCAATCTGCAGAACGCTTTGTGAGTTGAATGTGTTTTGTGAGGTCACAGTGACCTTGTCCTTTGACCACCAAATTCTAATTGGTTCATCCTTGAGTCGGAGTGGTCGTTTGTGCCAAATGTTGAGATATCATGTTCATGTCAATGAGTCAGATGTATAATCTGAAAACATAATGCCTCTGGCCACAGCTGTCGTGGAAACATAAAATTAGTAATTGGTTGTAACCCTATAAACTTTGAATGATTTTTTTTTTTCATGTCTAGTTTCAATCACATTTTTAGCTTTGTTATAATGTCTGAATTGCTCAGTGGTGTTAGAGGATTGCCTTCCCTAATGTCTCTCATTGCTGTGTTTATACAGGAGTTTGGACAGTTGAAACCAGAGCATGTTTGTGACTGTGCTCCTGCTACTGGTCACTATATGTGCCCAGGGAGGAAATGGTGAGGAGAAAGCAGAGGCACAGAGACCTGGCCATGTTTCAGTGGTAATAGTGGGAGGCACAGGTGATCTGGCAAAGAAGTACCTGTGGCAGGGCTTCTTCGACCTGTACACTAACCAGGTCAGTAGTGGATACACCTTTTCCTTCTATGCTGGAGGACTGTCACCTGCTGACGTGGCCACGCCTGTCCTGTTTGAGATCCTGAAGGCGGTGTCCTGCTCAAAAGATGTATCAGCGGAGCGCTGTGCTCTGTTGAAAGAGCAGTACCTGCGGCTCTCACAGTATCGGCAGCTGAAGTCCATAGAGGACTACCAGGAACTGGCCAAACATATTAAACAAGAGCTCCAACAAGAGGGAATAACAGAGGCAGGGAGGCTGTTCTACCTCTCAGTACCAGCCTTTGCATACGCAGATATTGCTGATAAGATAAATAATAGTTGCAGACCAACCAGTGGGGCGTGGCTGAGGGTGGTGCTAGAGAAGCCTTTTGGACATGACTTCAGGAGTGCCCAGGTACTTGCATCTCAACTTGGTAGTTCCTTGAAGGATGAAGAAATGTACAGAATCGACCATTATCTGGGGAAGCAGGTAAAAATATTCTACACAATGTGTTCCTTTTACCTGTAACTCCGTAAATGACATGTTTGATTTCATGTAATGGTTTTGGGTTTTTTTTTTTTTGCTTTTGTGAAAAGGTGGTTGCAAAGATACTTCCATTCAGAGTAGAGAACAAAAACTTTCTGGATCCCATTTGGAACAAGCACCACATCGAGAGGGTGGAGATTGTAATGAAAGAGACCCTCGATGTCAAAGGTGAATAAAAATGCATTGATAATGATGTAATTAAAGGAATGCTTCAGCCTCTTAAATGAGCATTTGTATATCAGTTACTCATTTATGTTGTCTTAAATTGTGACTAAAATAATTTTCTTGCATCATTCGGTGAATGAAGAATCCAAAAACTGAGAAAATCCTTGATGAGTTGACCTTTCGCTAAGTCCTGCCCCCAAACGCAGGCTGGAATGTCATAATGTAGCATCGGGCTGGACCAGATCTTTCAGACCAGGGTCCAACAACAACTCAGCTGTGCTCTTTTGGATCTAATGCAATGGTTTCAGATTTCCTTCTTTTTCAGGCTGGTTTTGTGGATGGTTTTGTAAATGTTGTGCCTGTGGCACGTCGTGTATTAATGATACTCGTTACCTGGAGAGGTTGGAAAAAGATGTACATTTCTTCCCTGTTCCAAAACCAAAATCAAACCCTGAAAAGTGTAGGGTTAGCTAGCTAGCTACTGAAGATATAGCCTGCTGAATGTATACACACCTGCTGTGCAGGAATCAGTGAAGGGAAGCAGGGAAACTTTTTCTGATATTCAACCAGCTGTGTGTCATCGCAGTGTGTGCAGATGAAAAATGTTTGACTTACCAAAGAGATCCCTGCCTGTCCAGAGACAGAGGTCCAGGTGCTGGCAAAGGCACGGGGGAAAAGCCAAACACAGTTCATCTGCACACACTGCGATGCCACACAGCTGGTTCAATATCAGCGAAGTTTCACTTTATATTCATTGTCTTGTGTGGCGATCAGCAGTGATGTGGTGGTTCACTTTTACACTGTGATCTGTAGCCTATAGTTCGGCTTTAGCTTCTAACTATCTTTGTCTTTATAACCTGTTGTTGCTGCTGAGTCAGTTTGACATCCTGGATATATCCTTCAAACACAGACTGTAGACCCCTCTGTCTGCTTCTCTCTGGAATCACTCTTTCATTTTTCCAAAAATATCATCATATTTCTTCAGGAAGTGCAGTTAGTTACAGTGTGGGCTCCATGCTTACTTCGACAGCTTGTTGGACCATCACAAAAGGGCGGGGCTTAGCGAAAGGTCAATTAAAGTTTCCATCCACTCACACAATTCATGCAGTATAATCCAAGTCTGCTTGTTTGGGAAGTACTGAGCATATGACTGGATAAATAAGACCTGGATTATTCTGCACAAACTGTGTGAGAGTTTGTAAACTGATGTTTTGATAAAGTTTTGCTGTTATGTTGTCCTAAAACTTAATTAAGAATTTTCTCAGTTTTTGGATTCTCTGTTCACAGTGAAGGCATGCCGGAAAAACAAAGTCTTCATGAATTCAACCTAACAATGGCTGAGTAATTAATATAGAAATGCTCTTTTGAGATATGAAAAAGGAGCAAGAACTCCTAATCATGTGTTCACATCCTCTCTTTCTCCTTAAGGTCGTATGCCCTTCTATGACCAATATGGGGTGATCAGAGATGTGCTGCAGAACCACCTGACTGAGGTTATGACCCTGCTGACCATGAGGCTTCCAGTGAATCTGAGCAGCAGTGAGGAAGTTCTTCAAAATAAGCTGCAGATTTTCAGTTCCCTGCTGCCTGTAGGAAAGAATCAAGCCGTGATTGGCCAGTACCAAGCGTACAAGACAGCAGTTCAGCAAGAGTTGAATAAGACAAAAGATCACATCAGTCTCACACCAACATTTGCAGGTGACCGCTTTTCTTTTAATCACTGTGATTTAAGTATTCTTTACTGCCGTTAAACACTTGGTATACAACAAATACACTTCTGCTAATAAGTGATCCTGTTTGTGTCTTTCAGCTGTGTTGGCACACATCGATGAGACCCAGTATGAAGGTGTGCCAATTCTTTTGATCTCAGGGAAGATGTTAGATGAACGGGTGGGGTATGCGCGTATACTTTTCAAGAATGACATATTTTGTCTTCAGAACCACAACAGCGTTCACTGCAAGCCCAAACAGATAGTTTTCTTCTTTGGGCATGGCAACCTTCAATATCCAGCAATTCTTGTAAGTAAGAATTTATTCAAGCCAGTTTTAATAGACGATGAGTGGAAGGAAGTGACGGAGCATAAAGATGTCAATGTTCTAGGTTTGCCTATTTCAGACTATTATGTGCAAACTCCAAGAGAGCAGAAGGAAGCATATTCAGAACTTATTTCTCACATTTTCGCTGGATGTAAGAACAGTTTTATCAGTGCTGAAAACCTGCTGGCTTCCTGGGGTTTTTGGACACCACTGCTGAGAAGCTTAGCCAGTTCTTTTCCCCGCATCTACCCCGGGGGTGCTGACAATGGAGACCTGCTGGATGTCCGTATAAAAGGGAAAGACATTAGCTACAACAGTGAGGTGGTGATAATCAGCCCTGATCAGATGTCTGGAACATCAGCAGACGGTTTCCAAGTAATGCAAGGCAAATTTCGTAGTGCTGACATGGTGTCCGCCTGGGCTGAGGAACTGGTGGAGAGGCTAGCTGCAGACATAGAGGAAGCAGCAGAGGCAGCAGTGCGTGAGGGGGGTGTTTTCCATCTTGCCCTCTCTGGTGGGTCCACTCCCCTCGCTTTGTTCCACAGGTTAGCCCTGCACCACTTCTCCTTCCCCTGGAGGGATACCCATGTGTGGATGGTAGACGAACGATGCGTGCCTCTGACTGAAATGGAGTCCAACTTCCACAGCCTGCACAACCATCTACTGCAACACGTGAGGATACCCTATTACAACATCCACCCCATGCCAGTGCAGCTCAACCAGCGTCTGTGTGTGGAGGAGGACGGAGGAGCACGGCTGTATGAGCAAGAGGTCAGCAATTTGGTAAATGGCTCCAGCTTCCATTTTGTACTGCTGGGAGTCGGCTATGACAGCCACACTGCCTCTCTGTTCCCTGGCAATAAAGTGGACGAACTTGGGGAAGGTCTGGTGGCCCTCACTGAGAGTCCTGTCAAGCCTCACCAGCGCATGAGCCTCACTTTCAGTGCCATTAACCGAGCTCGCACGGTCGCTGTTTTAGTGATGGGCAAAGGCAAGCATGAACTGATCACCCAGCTGAGCCGAGTGAAGGACAACCCAGACAAGTGGCCCGTCACCGGGGTGAAGCCTGCTGATGGCAGACTTGTTTGGTATATAGACTATGATGCACTTTTAGGATAGTAATCACATTCCAACTTTCAATCAGACAAATGTTTTTGAAGCTGCTTTAAAACTATAGTTGGTAACTTTTATGAGAATAACTTCCTGAAACTGTCACTACATCCACACAGTATTACATAATAAAATCATGATCCTCCTTCTCTTCCTACCTCTTCTGATGGCATTTGCGAGAGCCTATCACAGCTCACAATCACTGCTCCTTAACTTCGGTCAAACTGTCAAACTAGGACTGATCAAATATGAATCAAGATTCTATCGCTGCATTGGCTGTTTCTCTCAAACATTTTCAGAAACATATTTTAGTGTACTGTTTAGCTGTAAAATGAGAACGCTTGTGCCTTGGCTACCATGTTGGAAACGGTTGAGTGAAGCACCACCCACTGCCTGGACCAAGTGTCTCATTTTACAGCTAAACAGTACACTAAAATATGTTTCTGAGAACATTTGTGGAGAGAAATGGAGAGAAATCACAAGCTGTGACTGACATGATTGACAGCTGCATTAGAGACTCCTCAGCTCTGATTGGTTGTTTTCCTTCACATGTATTAATGCCATTAGAAGTAATTCAAGGGAGGCAGATTATCTGTCTTATACTGCTGTTTAAATTTAGTGACGGTTTCAGTAAATATGACTTAAAGTTGCTTATTTCAGAAGTTACCAACAACAGCTTGAATTAGACAGCTGGTTGGTGCAAAAGAAAGTATGAGCCAACTCTTAAAGGACCCTTAGTTCTACATATTGAAGCTTATTTAGCACAAACTATATATATGAACACAGCAGGATTTAAGACCGTTATTTGTCCGTGAGGGGCAATTGGTTTTGCTGCAGCAGCAATAAATTAAAAATAAAAGACTACAACACAGGGCTGTAAACACAAGATAGAACCACATATACATAACCATACATATATTTTTTTGAAATCACAGCATGTCATCAGTTTTATTGCAGAAATGTTGAGTATTTGCAATTTATAGTTAAAGCTGAAGTGTGGGACTTTTTCATATAAGATAAAGCTCTCTGTATTATGCAGAATATTGGAGTTGTGGTGTTTGGGGACTGTGGCAACTTTCTTGTGCTGGTGCGCCAAAGTAATGCATTTTATGTCAACCACCCAGAAAGTGAAAAGGAATTTTTAATTAAAGTAACAGAAAAAGATTTGAAGAGACAGTGTTACCTACTTGGCAAATTCATCAGAGTAGAAGAGAGAAATGTATTGTAATTCATTCCCATGCGTGCTGCTCAGAGTAATCACAGTCCACGACCCCTCTGCCAACAGCACAAGGTCTCTCCCCGTCCTTCCTCTTGCACTATGCAGTAGGGGAGAGATCGCAGGAAGAGAGGAGAAGCTGCTTGCAGCAGGAGTTCAGTTGTGAGTTTCAGTCTTTGTTCTCTGGATTGGAAGTGTGAGAAAATGGTGCTGAAAGCTCTCTTGCCTTTCAAATATTTTGTTGAAGTTTTAATGCTTCTGATAATGTACAATGACGTCACTAATATGCAAAGGAACATATGACGTCATCTGGTGACTTTTAGCAACTTTTTGAGATAGTGCTAGCTACTCCCATTAGGAAAGAGTTGATAACACTATCAAAATGGCGTTTCTAGGAGGTGGGGGAGATGTAGAGAGCTCACCTACAGACATATGACATGAGCACTTGTTGACAGCATTTGTGTAATTACTCTCATTGCCACAGGGGGGAGACAAAAGTTCCTCACTCCAGCTTTAATGGGTTAAAAACTATGATATGGTCCTTTTATACTGAAGCCTCGTTCAAATCTTTTTTTCTGGGTGTGTTTGTGTGTGTGAAATGCATATACAGACTTTTTATAGTTTATCTAAACCTAATAATGTGTGAGATGAATGAAAATCTAGACAAACGTGAAGTATCTGTCTGCAGTTTACTAAGTGCAGGGTATGTAGCACTGTGTGCATATCTTGTATGATCTCAGGTGTGAATTTGCAGGTATGCAGCTTACTGTAATCTACACTTCTCGATTGTATGTTTTCTATTGTTGAGTGGCGGTGACCCACTTAAAATGTCCTCAGTGAGTTTAAAAAGACTGAAATGTTACTGGTCCCATTCATTATACATTTTTTGTATGTTAATAATGGAAATACAAACGTGTGTTATTGAAATGTTTCAGATAATTCAAGATATTTGGTGCTTCAAAAAAAAAAAAGCACATTCCTGACCCATTCACATTCCACTTAAAGAGTACTTCATCCACAGATTGACAGTTTCTATATCAGTTACTCACCGTGTGTTACCTTTACCTTCGTGAAGAAGACTTTTGTTTTTCTCACATGCAACCAGGGTGAACAGAGAATTGAAAAAGAACATTCTTCATAATCTGAAGTAAATGGGGGCCATGTTCAACAACAGTAAAACCATATCAAAACATAATTTTACAAATGCTCAAACACTTTATGCCATTATTATCCTAGTGTCATTTATCCAGTCATATGCTCAAACACGTAATTTAGCTAAAACATTATGTTTTGTTCTAGCTTTGCTGTTGTTAAAGAGCCCCGTCTTACTCCACAGTCGTCAAAATCTGGTGCTTGGGCAGTGACTTGCGGCGTCAGAAACCAACAAAAAATGGTGTCCTTCAAGGCTGGCATATTACACTGCTGGTTGCCGCTATAGTTTAACGGCGCTTGGCAGCATCAGGAGGAAACAGGGTGGGACAAGGACGAAAGTTAAGGCAGCAAAAGTCAGACTGGGGCAGGCGGGAGGGGTGGTAGATGGGTCAAACAAGCACTGACTTTCACCCCAGAGAACAGTGTTTGTGTCCCGTATGGATTCTAAAGCCAAACTCTTTTTTCCTAAAGTGCGTTTGTTTTGAAAGAGACTGTATGTAAGCGTAAAATTTCCTGTGAAAACGGAAGTGTATCTTGAAAGAAGATAATGTATGTAACAGGCAGAACTTGACACAGTGTCCCAGAACTACAACAGCCAACACACCCAGGGTACCTTGCACATCATACTGTATGTGGACGTGGAAAGTCCATGACCAAACGTCAATGTATGATGAGGTCGGAGTGAGAATGTGCTGTGTTAAACGCTGTCCCCGTTTACTTGAATTCACGAAGAATGTTTTTTCTTTTTTTAGATTCTCTATTCAGCCTATAGGTGTGCAGAAAAAATGATTTTTTCACGAATTCAAGGTATTTGTTATACAAATGGTCATTTTGGGGTGAAATATTCCTTTAGAATATTCGGTGCCTGTGGTCTTGAGGTGCTTTTTGTATATGTCCAAACAAGAGCAGCTTTATTTCAAGGTTGATTTATACACAGTCTTTGAATTAAAGTGAAGTGCTACTGAGTTTCAGCAGTCATGTTATTGTGCCTTTGTTTGTCCTGTGTCTTGGTCTTATAAGACAAACAACCATATGGGTCTGTGAAGAACTTTTTGAAAAGAGTCTGAAGAAGTGTGTGTGATGAGCAGTCACTAAATCTACAAGATATTTCCATGCACTTAAAGGGGGAGCACTTAGATGCACTAGATCACACTGGCACCATGTGATATAATTTAGGTTATTATTTATTTGATTTTCTTTCCAGTTTCATTGAAAGTTTGGGTCATTAGGTGGGAATATTAAAAACTGAATTTCCTTTTTAGCTTTCCTACCACAACATATCTTATGTAGCTTTACTTTTCTAGTGAGATAACTATCAAATTCAGCACTGTTATAATAATTAAACACTGAATTTATTAACGTCCCATGATTGATTGTTACATGAAACAGATTTCCATCAACAAATAAAAAGCAAACACCATTCTGAACCGAGACAAACACCTGCTGTGTGATGTTTCTCTGAAGTGAGCTTTAAAACGTGAGAGGGATTAAGTCGCTTTCTCTTTTTTTTCTGTTTCCCATGGTTTAAAGTTACCAGCTGCTGTTGGCATGGAAACCACATGAAATCTTAATATGTAAAGTATCGCATGTCAGCGTGGGACAGCTGGACCGCTTTACTGCTCATTGTTTCTGCTCGGGTTGGTCACGGGCTTCCTCTTAGCCAGCCAGAGTCCTCCTCTCACCATGAAATAACCTGAACAGACACAAGCAGGTGTTACTCCTTTGAACTGAAAGAATGCAGTGTGTGAATGTATGGAGGATAAAAAATGAGTAGTATCAATACGTAGATGTAGAAATAGATACGGGAATAAATAAATATGAAAATTAATGAATAAAAGAATGAATAAATGCTGAAATAAATAAATGCTGAAATAAAAATATAAATGCAAAGGTTAGGACCTCTTACTTCATTTACACACAGACACAAGGATACAAAAAATGTACAAAAGTAGAGAAATAAATTTAAGATATTTATTTATTCATGTCCTGTTTAATAATCAAGTTTTTATTATTTATTTATTTTTGCATATATCTATTGTATTTATTTATTTCCATATTTACCTCTTTATTTATAATTTTTTATTTACTTCAGCATTTATATATCTATTTACTTATTCCTGTATTTATTCATACATGTAATTATTTATTTCCATATGTATTTTAAAAATGATTTATTTGTGCATTTATTCATTTATTTCTTCCTGTGTTTATTTCTACATGTAATTGTTTCCATATATATTTCAAAATTAATTTATTCTTGCATTTATTTATTTAATTATTTATTCCTGTATTTATTCCTACATTTAATGATTTATTTCCATATGTATTTCAAAATTAATTCATACTTACATTTATTTATTCATACATTTATTTGCTTACAAATTTATTTATTTATTGATACTTAAGTCATTTTTCATCCTCCACATAATTCATAAGAAAAGTACTTCACCTGTGCTGACAATAGCTGCGACCGTTAGAATAAGGGACATGTAGTACAGCTCAGGGGTGGTTTTGGCCTGTGAACATACAAATATATAAATAGAAATCATTTTGATGCTGCAGTTTCTCTACAGAATGTAATAACACTGTGGTCTCTTTCTTACACATGCTGCTGCTGTCAGCGTCAGGATGACGGTGCATAGTCCTTGTCCACACGTCAGCAGCCCAAACAGATGATAGGCAGCCCACAAGCTCTGAGGAACCGGGTCTATTAATGTGAATATCACTGCAAAACCTGTTGAAAGACTTGAAGTTAGTCCACATCAGTGATGCTCAACTCACAGCCTGTGGGTCAAACCTTATTCACACTGGTCAATTTTCTGTACTTTGAAGGCGCTAGAGTACATAAAAGGGACAGATGAGTGAGGACAGCAAATGTTGAACAGTTGAAAACAGGCAATTCACTTGATATACATACTGATAAATGTCAATGCTTGCCCTTTGACTGCCAAATGTGGCCCTTTGGCAAAGCAAGTTGACTGTGCCTGCTCTATATAAATCATTCTTAGCTTGTAGTACGCTCGGCTTGTGTTTTTGAAATGTGTCTGATTTACCTGTAGCTATGAAGGACAAGGCGATGGAGGCTGACAGGTTGTTCAGAAGAGGCTGTCTGCAGTATCGTGAGGATTTGGGCCTTTAAAGAGAACAGAAACCATGATTAAAGCTGCGTTCCCTTTTGTTAATGCTGCATTCCCTTTTGTACAAGTAACCCATGGGCTCTACGGCTCAATGCCAGCACCTCTGTCCCAGTTACCTTCCCAGGATGTAGAACTGAGGAACCAGGACAAGTGCCGCAAACACTGCATTCACTATCTGACTACAAATAGAACAAAGTATCCGTTTTAAAAGCTGTTGCAATGAGTGTGTTTGAATTAAGAGTATTTTTCTGTCAAAAACAAAAAACATGACTGTCACTTACAATTTTAACCTCTGACTCCTCGGTAGCCATCTGCTGCTATGATACGCCATGAGGATTAGCATGTAGAGAAACATGGATGTTGCACACTCAGGCAGACAGATACTGTAACACTGCTCCTGATGGCTGGATGTGTTCAGCTGAAGAACAGCCAACAGCTCCAACAGCAGGAGGAAGGATTGTATTTCACACTGCACATGCACAGAGACCTGTGCTGTGTGTTATTTACCCTGAAAGCCCAACATCTGCACGTACATTTAAACTTTAAGATTATGTTTTTGGTCACAGCTGGCAGTACGTAAATGTTAAAGATGCAGCCCACTTGTAAGATTTTAAAATACCACCCCGTGTGGAGGCTTTTGTTTGAACAGGAACAGAATAGTTTCCTCATATTATGTGTAAAAAGTCCTGTTCCGCCGTACAGTGTGTCTCCTTTGTACAGTATGTGTCTTAAATAGCTGCTGCTGGCGACAACTCATCACCTCTGCCCCAAATTGACACACAATGAAACATCCCACCCATGCACTTTAAATCCGATCACTCCTGATAGTCTTCCAGAGAGTCAGACCAACATCCAAGATGCCTGTCGACTACAGTGGGACGTGGGACATGGTCAGCACAACCAATTTCGAGGGCTACATGGCTGCACTTGGTGAGTGTCACAGCTTCTTTAAACACACTGAAATTTAAATGAATGTTTAATTATGATATGAGAGGAAACCCTTATGTGTAGCTGACTGAGTAATGTTTCTTTTGTGAATGTTGAATTGTTCTCAGCATCATTTGGGTTTGAGTTTTCGAACATTCATGCTCACAGCTGACAACTGAATCAATGTGGAATATACATTAAGGAAAGTAACGGTATATCTGTTCATGATTTATGTAATTTGGATAGATCGAGAATTGAGTGTGCATTTCTTTTTGTCAGTGACCTTGAGGGCGTTACACATACAGTGAAGGTTAATGTTAATTTATGTCCTGATCAGAGCAGGATGGACGTGTTTGCAGTTAACGCAAACAGTACCTTGTTCTAACCAGCTCCTCTCATTTTGACACACAGGCATTGATTTTGCAACACGTAGGATTGCCTCGGTGTTGAAGCCCCAGAAAGTGATTAAGCAAGACGGAGACAGTTTCTCAATCAAGACATTCAGTACTTTCAGAAATTATGACCTTTCATTTAAAATTGGAGAGGAGTTTAAAGAGGTGACCAAAGGGATGGACAACAGGACGTGCCAGGTAATAAAGGATTTAATAAAGTGTAATACTGTAGTAAACACTGTTGTCTGTGACTCTGTGGTGATCACAAACCATATTTATATGTATTTTTCTGTAATAATAAGAACAAATGATAATAAACTTTATTTATCTAGCACCTTTCAAACAAGAAATGCAGCAAAAATCATACAATTGTAAAACCATAAGTCATAAAATCAAGTAAAATACAATATTTTTAAAAAGTTGCAGCAGCATGAAGCATAAAAATAAAGAGTTTTATTTACATTTATATTATATATACATTTTATTTTTGTTCCCTATCAGACTGTGGTCAATTGGGACAATGATAAGCTGGTGTGTGTTCAGAAAGGAGAGAAGAAGAACCGAGGGTGGACTCACTGGATTAATGGAGACGAGCTCCATCTGGTATGACTCTGCATTTTTAATTCTGATAGCCTTTTACAATCCAGTTAATGTGTGTGATCAACACTGTGTCATAAGTTATGCTGATTTATATGAAGTATTTTGTGGACGCATTCACATATAGAATTATATAATTAATGAGTTAAACACAAGAAAAAAATCACTTCTCCATGAGAAAACTTATGACATTCCTTTAATTATGAGCACACTGTTGTCATTTTCTAACAATAAATGTTGGAAAATGTATTAATTTCATGTTTTCTCCTTTCAGGAACTTACTTGCCAGGATCAAGTCTGCAAGCAAGTTTACAAAAGAACTCTGTGATCTTTGAAACCGTGTCAGAACCAGGGAACTTCATCCTCAGTATTTCCATGAGAGGAGCCTGCTTTAATAAACCACATGAAGAGCATGTAATCTGATTGTAATGTGTGTCATTAAACGCTGCAGCGCTGCAGTACCTCCTCCTGGCCACACGGTGGTGCTGTACATTAAACACTGAATTAAACTCAGGAGTCGTTGTTTTGTTGGTGAATGTGTGCCGCGAGTTTTTGTTTTTCCTGCCAACTGTTACCTTTAGCGAACAAGTTGAAATATGTGTGTACAAACTGCGTCTTGTTTTGTCTGTTACACCTTGGTTTTGTGAGGACTTTGTTATATAATTGAAGCCGCAGCAGTCGAAAGTTTCCCTGCCTGAAAATGTCCGTTGATAAAGAAGAGACGCAGCAGGTAAGACCGTTTGGCTAACGTTAGCTAGCTAACGTTTCACATCTGTATGCTGTAGTTTAACGTTACAGCAGCAGGCTGGTGGGATACATATCTTTTATTTAAGTAAAAGTAGCGTTAACACAGTGTAGAAATAATCGGTCAGGTGAGTGTATCTGGTCCCAGGGTCCTGTCAGCTCAGTATGACACAACAAGGAGACCTGTCAAAAGACATCTCCGTTCTCAGCAGTCATTTTACCCATGGTTAATATTCCTTGTATGTTTCGCTGGGTCAGTATAATGACATTAACAACCTACAACCCAAACCCTAATGATGTTATACTCTTTAAAATCTAACATAAAAGTTAAGTCCTCATATTTGTGGGCAAGACAGTTTCCTTAACTTTAGACACTGGTATCTCCACAATGGCTCAACACATTTTTCCTATTCAAACTGCATTTGTAACCAAAGTCTCCTTTATTTTTCAGTTTTAACTGCGAACTTAGACCTTACCAATCTCTTGCAATGTTATTTAAAATGTTATTTAATTTAAAATAGACTATGCTCTTGGAAAGTAAAAGTCGAAAAGCACTAGCATCAAAATATAACTAAAGCACAAAAAGTAAAAGTACACATATATTACTGAACTATAATTATTGATGCTTCATATATACATTGCTTAAATGTTGCCGTTATTTTACTATATATATTGACATGTAAGAAAGGATCAATAAAGACCTATCTTTAGCCCTAATATTAATGTTACATCATAACTTATTTGCTGATTATATTTTATATTAACCGTTTGAAAACTGAGCAATTTGGTTTGATTTCTTTCAAACACATGGGAAGAAGGAAATGAACCATGAAAGAAGAAACGACCCCCCAAAAATTGCAAGAAATTAGTAAAAAGAGAATATTAAAAACAAGAAAATTAATGGGGGGAAAAAGGAAGAAAGACAGTTAAAAACAAACAAGGAAATGACCTGGTAAGAGTGCTTAAAAGTTTAACTATTCTGTATCGTGATTTTAAATATGTAATAATAATAATAATAATAATTGGATGTTGTTTTTCCCAAGCTCTTTTCTTTTTTCCCTATTTTTTTTTTCTTTTTTATAATAATAATTTTGAAAATCTATAAATTTTTTGGAATTTGTGGGACATGTCTCTTCCCATGTTTTTGAAAGAAATCAAGCCAATTTGCTCAGGGTTTAGAGTATTATATACTTGTGAAAGGCGTCCAGAAGCAGCACAAGAAAAGTGATGTCGCTTCAGGTTTCTGTGCAAAGTAAGGTTAACTAAAGGTATTGGGTAAGTGTCATAGGGTAAAATGTAAAACATTTCCCTCTATAATTTAGTAGAATAGAAGTCTAAAGTAGCAGAAATATGAAACATTTAATAAAGAAATTACTGTACCTCAAAATCAGTGGCAGAACTGGGGTGGTAGCTTTTGGTGCTCCAGCCTTGAATATTCTCTCAAAAGTCAGATTTTCCTGGGAACAATATACAGACTCATACAGAAGTAATCCCTCTCAAGTGTCACTTATGACCTACAGGAAGTGTGTGGCAGTGTATTTATCTGCAGAGACTCTGCCCTCTGCCTGTATCTTCTTATTGTCTTATTATTTTCCTGTGTTCTGGAGGTTCCTTGGCACAGCGCACAGGTGAGGTTGGGATGTTACTAAAACTTAGCGACCAGGTGCCAGACTGTAAGCAGCATCACCAGTGGTTTGAAAAATAGTGTATATACAGTTGCCATTAAATCTCCCTTGGAGAAACATGTCCTTGGACTCCCCTGGCTTTGAGCTGAGCCCCCAAATATTTACAACATCTGGCTCTGCCCCTGCTCAAAATTGCACTTAAGTACAGTACTTGAGTAAATGTACTTAGTTACTTTTCACTGCTGGCAGCAGACAGGTAAAAAATAGGGATGCAGGATATTGGACTTAATGCCGATATATAACAACTTGTATGACCAATAACCAATACAGATATTGATATGTCCTTTTTTCTCCACCTTATTTTATTGATCTTCAAGTCTGTTCTGTAGTGGAATTGACATCATATTATACATGCATACTCTTATCATGATGGCCCACCAGCAGATGGAGACATGAAATACAATGCTTTTCAATGTATGTAATATTCATTCATTGTGCAATATAAGGAAAAGCATGTTGGCTGATTCTAATAGTTAATTTTAAAGTCCATATTATTATGCATCCCCAGTTTAGAAAAAAAAACTGCGTTAAAGTTGAAAGTGCATAGCGTCATGTTAATGTCATGTAATCTCATTGAATGTTTTGACTTTCAGAGGTTAAAGGCAGCAGTCCATTATACTGTGGGTCGCCTGTGTCAGGAGATGGGACAGGATCACCGGAGAGAGTTCAGTCGACAAGTCATAGCAGCAATAGCTGAGACAGCTTACAGACAATGTGGTGGGTGTCAACAAGGATACTGTCATGCACCATCAGAAACGTACAGTACATAAAATATAAATTAAAACTCACAGGCATCTTCTTGTCAAATGCACAGCTTTAACTTGTGAATAGCAGCTAGCTTGCTGTTTGCATAAAGATCATATATGTTTAGATTTGTTTCTTTAGTGTTATCTGTCCAGCAGAGCCTTGGGAATTAAAAATCTCCATTAGTACATGTACTAAAATATAAAAAATGACTCACATCATTACAAAGTGTAATACTTCTTGTACAACCTATCTAGTTATTTAAATCAACATACGTACGAGTTCATTGGGTGCATTTGTACACTTTGTACAATCCAGTAATAGCTCTGAAACATGCAGTGGTGGAAGAAGTACTCAGATCTTTCACGTTAGTAAAAATAGCAGCACAATAAATAATAGTCCTGCATTCAATACGCTATTCAAGTAAAAGAACACAAGTGTTAGCGTCAAATGTGCCTAGTACCAAAAGTAAAAGTGCTCACTGTGTCGACAGACCCTTTTCAGAATAATGTATGTTATGTCTTTGGATTATAACAAGTGACGCATTATAGTTTATTATATTTGTAGTATTCAGTAATAATTCATCCTCATTTATTAGCTGATTATATTTTGTACTAATACTAATCTAAAGTAACTAGTGACTAAATCGCATCAACTGTGGTGGAGTAAATAGCACAATATTTCCCTCTGACATGAAGTAGAGTTAAAAGTATAAAGCAGCATGAAATGGGAGTACAAGTACCTCGAAATTGTACTTAGTTATAATACCGGAGTAAATGTACTTTTCTACATTCCACCTCTGGATATATGTAATACTTACAATACATAGCTTTATTGATGCATTGAATTGGCTTATACAGTTACATTGTACATGCATTTATCGATATTTATTTATCAATATACAGTTCTCCACCAACATGCAGCTCAGTACAACAATTAAACCTCACATCCGGAATACCCTAATGCAAAACACGTCATAGATGTTTCAGCATCAACTCATTCTACCATCACAAATTTTATCCACCAAGAAGAAAACGGAGACATCTTGGTGCTCAAAGGGTTCAAGACACTGACCATTTAATTATCACAACAGCCCAAGTTTGAACCCAGCCAGCATGATTTGTTGCACCTCTCTAATGTCTGATTGTCTGTCTAATAAAGCCAAAAAAATCTCCCCAAAATAATCAAAACAACCAAACAAAAATTACTTAGTTACTCAAAGAATAATTACATTAATATATTAACAGGGCGGCCTTACGTTTTATATCAGTTATCTTTCAAAATATGTCACAGAAATAAATCAGAAATAATGCAGTAGGCTTCACTGTTTCATTTACTTTTTTCCTTTATTGCAGAGTGAAATGCACAAACTAAAGTAATTCCAGTAATGTAGTACAAAAAATATGTATATACATGCACCGTATGCACATGTATGGGATAGCTGCTGCTGTAATTTATGCAGATTTAGTATACTGAGCAGTGTTAAATAACCCTGTCCTCTGCATCTGGCCACAGCTTACTATTCAGTAGTGCAGTCAGGATACTGTAATTTATAACTTTGATACATTACCTTGAAAAATATCCATATTTGATAATATTTTCAATACAATGGGGGGCAAATGACATTGAGGGCATAAGATTTAAAATTTTTATTAAAAGATAAATATGACAAGGCTATATCATGACAACGATGACTTTTCCGTCTTTGGTTAGCAGCAGACAACAGCAGAATGACATTAAAAATGAGAGTGGGTGAGAAAGTGCAGCTGGTATTGAGAGATTTCAAATATTCAGAATCGATATGTAGTGATAAATCAGTATTTTTGACAACACTATCCACTTCACACTTTAGGTCCCATCAGGGTTGCTTGCCCGATTCATCTCTGGCAATCTTCTGCAGATTTGTTCAGGCAACCAGTGTTCATTGTATTGTCACCACAAATAGCACACTCTTTTACATATGTATGACATGACATAAGTCAGAAACCCCTGGATAGGCCTTCAGCTAAAATGGGAATACGCTCTGGTCTTTTTATAAATATTTTTAAAATTGTAGATGTAAAACGTAGAAAATTGGTGTCAACTTAAATGTTGCAATTTTGTTAAAAAAAAAAAAAAAAAAAAAAGGTACATGTATACATAGCTTCAGACTTTCAGGGTTTAGCTGCTGGTTGAGTTTTAGTATGGAAGATAAATTTGGAAACAATGTGGTCGTTTTTCACGATGAAACATTATCCAGCTCAGTCCACACAGACTGCTGCTGTGTTGATGGTGTGGAGTGTAATGAGAAATATGTGCAACTAACCATAAAGAACATTTATGATGTTCCAACTCATGTATATACAGGCATGTACACTACTCATGTATGTAAATAGTGGTGTACAAAATGTTACCAACAGGTCAATCTTAACTTTACATCCCCTCACCTTTTTTCAGACACATTTGCTAAAGACCTGGAGGCCTTTGCAAGGTGAGGATCTTTTTTTTTTGGCATATTAACAGATGAATTCACCTTGTTTTGTCTTTCAATATATTAAATACCTGGTGAGGTCTTTTGCTCATGTGTCTTACACCAACCTAGCAGAACAAATGTAATAATCTGTTATAATTTTCATAAAACATCTGATTTACAATCTCAACTCTGATTTCAGACATGCTAAAAGAAGCACAGTGTCTTCAGAAGATGTAAAGCTTGTTGCTCGTCGCAGTACTGCACTGGTGAGTTACTTCCATTGGATTGTCAGAAAGGACTTAAACAGGATATTGTCGAAAAGTCAAAATCAAATACATGTAGTTTCACCAGTCACCATAGACCACTCATTTCATCCTAGTAATGCAGTATACTGGAGCTATGTAGGGGTATATATTCTACAGCAGACAGCAAACTCAATGTTTAATTTGCCTTTATTTATTTCAGTCCATCTACATACAAAATAAAAGTGAAGAACTGAACCAGGAGCAGAGGGATTTGAAAAAGAAGAGCACTGGGAAGAGGAAGAGTAGAGACACTGAGGAGGAGAGCAGAGAGTAAGGACAGGACACAGGCAGGCCCGCAGTGTCTCACTTGTGCCCAACATTCAAATAAACATGACGGCTGACTAACACATGACAAGAAGTTAAGTGTCAAAGGTGCCAAAGACATTCAGCTACCAATCCTACAACAGCAGATGTCATTTGATGTATCACATAAGTTTAATGTACTTTCTCTGACTGGTATCTGTCCTGGGACTTGCTGATGTAATGTCAAATTACAGTGCATTTGGCACTGGTTCGACAAACAACAACCTGCATGAACTGACTCCAAAGTACTGACTACAAGATCTCTGCTAAATTATATACCTACCTTGTTTCATTAAACTGAGTAATCTAAATGGTTTTTTTGGGGGGGGGGACCTCACTTGTATTGTTAAGACTGCCAGGCAAACTGTCCATAATGTGTACTCAGTGACCACTTTATTAGGTACACCTGTATAATCTGATGCAATCCAACACACCTGCCATGAAGCCTACTTTTACGATGCCTGTAATTTTTGTTTTTGTTAATACTTAATAAACTGACCTCTACAGGTAGTGATGAGTCTGCATTATGTTCAGAGGAGTTTAATAGTCTGCCCCACTCATATGTAGATAGGAAGGGAAAAAAATTAGAAACACGTTAATATAATCCAGTCCAGTATAACGCAAACTACAACCTCAGTGTTAAACATGCTTGCATTAAAAATTTCCGGCTGCCTACAAAAATAAGTGGTCCTTTAATTTAAGGCAAGTTAGATTTAAGACTTTAATGCAGAACGAGATTTAAGACAAAATTTACAGTTATAAATATTGAAGAAAAAAACATAAATCGCCATCAGTTACTTAAAGATAGTGACAGTTGTGCCCAAATATTTATAACAACATAAAACATAACGTTTGGTGCTGCTAATGTGAGAGACATTTATTGGAAAAAGATAAATGTTACTAATTATTTTGAGATTTTACGATTCATCACAAGAAAAAATATATAAACCTATGTCCCATGTCTTGACAATTTTAAGACTTTTTCAAAGAATGATTTAAGCCATTTTAATACCAGTTAAGGCCTAATTTTCCAAAAACAAAAAACAGTACGTTTTTGTGATTTTACGATTCATCAGGAAAAAAAAATATTTATAAAATCACACTTCCCGTATCTTAACAATTTTAAGACTTTTGAAATACTGATTTAAGACATTTTAACGCCAATTAAGGCCATATTTTTAAAAATGAATCTGGTGCCTTTTGAGATTGTACGATTCATTGGAAGAAAAATATTTATAAAATACTACTTTCCATGTCTTCACAATTTTAAGACTTTTGAAAGACCAATTTAAGGTATTTTAATACCAATTAAGACCTTAAAAAAGAAAAAGTCAGTGCCTTTTAAAACTTTCTGAGGATCTGAGGAAACCCTTAAAATTTAACATTTTCAACTTCCTGAAAGTGACATTTATGACATAACTTCTGTATAACTTTACAATAGAATGTACAGGTGTACTTCTGAAGTGGCCACTAAGTGTGTATGGTCATCTAAAACTTACCGAACAAATGCCATAAAATTACCTAATATATTATTAGTTGTCTGATTGTTTAAGCCAAATTAAAGGCTTAAAAAATACAGTTTGGAGAGGTAATGCCACACTGCTGAGCTCATGTATTGAAGGATTTCTATAGACAGTGATCCCCTCTAGACCTTCCGTCTAACCTTAAGAGTAGCTGTGAATAATCAAAAAGGGATGATTCACTCTGACAAGCCATCAAAAGCAGCAAAAAGACAGGTACTACCCCATGTCATGTCTGAGAAGGCCACACACTGAAAGTGTTGGAACTTCCGTCTTCGTCCTTCAGAACAGACTTCAGTCAGGGTTCAAACGGAGACCTCGACCAGCAGAGCCCAAGGTCCCTAGATATGTGAATCGAATTAGATGTTTTTTTATTTGACAAACTGACCCAAGTAAATATCAACTAAGCATCTATTCAAATGAACTTTATTAGAGAACTCCCTTCATTTGACATGTTTTTAAACACCCCACAAACAACACAAGAGCTACTGGGAACCATTGGACACACCACTCCACGTTCTCACACTATCACTCGCGTCCCCCAGAGTCTTCAGCAGGTTGTCATCCACATCAAGTACACACTTACAGATCAGTTCAATAACATGAAAGCACACACCATACAGCATTCAAATCAGATAATATAAGCAATACAAATATTCATCACAACATTCCACTACATTTGATATTTCTGCACTTGATCGACATACTTAAGAGTAAGGAAAAACTTGCAAAGATAAAAAAAAAAAAAAGAAAAATATCTTGAAGTACTACTTAAAGAATGTCCATGTTAGGGGAGGTGCTCGTAGCATCTGCAGCTTCCACTCTCACACATTCAAAAAGCAGTCAAATTGGGCTCTTTCACTGCACAACCAGTCCGTTTCACGCGTCTCTCCGTTCGCTCACTCATCGCTTCACTCTTCGCCACAAGCCATCCTCAATCGCACTCATCAGTTCTTAAAATGTCAGTTGCGCAGTTCTTTCCATTTAAAAGTGGATAAAAGTGAAAACACCCACCGTCTCTTAGAACATGCGGAGTGAAGCCGTTCTTTGATGGCATAGCATTTACAGGTGGGAAGAGGGAGAATGATACCGATATCACCCCAAGAATGCTGCCAAAGAGGAGCTTCCTCACAGGAAAATGGAAGAGAGGTGAACTGCAGAAGAGATTTCAATGAAGGCTTTTCCACAGAACTTGACTGCAAATAAAGTTGCACTTAAAACATTTAGGTTTCAACCAGATTCTTCCCAATGCAAGATTGCCTTTTAGGTCGATGACAAAGCCGGATAATGGTGAACCACAAACATTCATGCATTTTCAAAATGGTTATATCACATTTCACAATACATGCATTAGAGAATCCAGTTGAAATGGATACAAACAAATGAGACATCAAAAATAGCACTTTAGTCAGACATCCTGGTAAACAATTCACTTCAACACTTCCTAAATTAAATCTTTAGCATTTTTTCCAAATGTACAAAACATCTTCCACAAAAGTGTTAAGTTCTCAGATACGCATCAACACCAGAAATAAATTTTGAAAAGACTCATCTCTGTCACAATACTTACCATACAAACATTTAACTTACATACCCCACCCAGATGACTTTGACTCCATACTGGTCCCAAAACCTGAGCTAAACCCTGTACCAGTGGTTGTAGAGTTTGACCCTGTTCCCCAGCCGAGACTGGCTGAGCTGGTGCCGTAGTTGCTGTTGCCTGTACTGAAAGACTGACTCTGGTCCCTACTAGAGCTTGTTCCACTGGAGGTGCTGCCTGAGGTGGATGTCTGCTGCTGGCTAGCCAGCATGCCCATCATCCCCCAACTACTCTGCAGAGCAGCCTGAGCGGCAGCCATCATGGCAGGGTTCAGACTGAAGGACCCAAAATTAGCCAGACTACTGTTAGTGCTGCTCCCTAACCCACTACGGCTGCTACCAAATGCTTGAGCTCCAAAACCATTCCCAAACCGTGCTGTGCGATCAAACTGCCTATTGCCATGTTTGGGCTCAGCATTTGAGATGTGAACACTGACGCCTTTGATTATTAGGTCCTCTCCACAGAGAGACTGGGCAACCTGTGAGGACAAAAAAAAAAACATGAGTCAGGTCATCTGGATGACAACAACAAGAAGTGCTTTCTAAAGATTTAACAGCTTACCTGATCATCTGCAAATGTGACAAAGGCAAAAGCACGAAATGGCTTGGGGATGAAGACATCTGTGACCTCCCCATACTGCATAAAGAACTGCCGGAGGTCATCAGTGGTCATGTCTTCTGTGCAACGACCTACAAACACTTTCCGGCTCCTCAGTGGCTCATCAGGACCTTGCTGTAAACAAAAGGTAAACAATTAGATACCACAGGTTATAGAGTATTAACGACAATATTAGCATGGTTATCATTCCCAGAGGGTGTGGGTATACGCATGGACATTACCAGATTCACCTTCGAGTTTGGGAGCTTGCAGTCGCACCATCTCCCATCAATCATATGGCGCTGTGAGATCACCTTCTCCTGAGCCTCATACTCTGTGAACCTCACAAAACCGAATCCTTTGGAGTTTCCAGTCTTGGCATCTCGTTTTACCTGACAAACAAACATTCGGCAATGGAGATCAACTGTCACCACATACAAACCAAAGCAGTGCGTGCTTTCTGACAGCTGTTAATGTGATACCTGAACCATGATGACTTCTCCAAATGTGCTAAAGTAGTCCTTCAGGTCCTGCTCAGTTGTTTTCCAAGGAAGACCCAGTACGATCAGGTCGGATGTCTTCATGTCTCCTCTCTTCATCTTTACAGCAGAGGAGGCGTCAATTTCCTCCATTTTTCTTTTGTTGTCTAAAATATGATCAACACACAGAGGAAATTATTGTATTTCAACCTGACAGCCATCAGATATGATTTTTCCTGACTTTGGAAATGATTGCAAAGAGCAAAACTCACTCAGCAAAATAATCAATATTTTCCACTGTTCTGCTTATTATCTTTTCACAAAGATTTTGATGTAAATATTTGTCCATGGACTTTACTATATCTTACCAGGACTGGGCAACATATCAAAACAACATAGTATTGTCTTTTCCTGCACTACAGTAATGTGATTTTCTGAACTTGCAAGATAGTTCTAGCTGTTTTATTATTTGTCTTGACCCACCAAATCATTGTATCTACCTTAATGATGGGTATTTATCCAAAATGTCATTGTGTAAATATTTTGTGACATCACAGATTCTACAATACTGTCACAATATTGTTTTCAAATTATTTGGTTGACAATATTGTGATAATAGATTTCCTCCATAACAAATCAGCCTAAAGTGTTACACAAGACCATTATTTTATTTAACATTTTTAAATTTTTTTGTGTGCAAATTCTTTGCTAGTTGAGCACTATTACCAAAGTGGCTCTCGTAGTCACTTTGCCCTTATGAATTCTTTCTTGATGTATATAGCCATTGTAAAGCACTTTGTAACCTTTGTTTACAAAGAGTGCTATATAAATAAATTTAACTTACTTACATCTCTACAAACAGAGTGATTTAAAATCAGTTAGTAGCAGATGGATGGGTGTTAATGTATGTCTTTCACATTATTGATTTTTAATCATTATGCAATTGCTTGAAGTACAGTTGCATAACTAGCTTACCTTATAACAACACTACTAAAATAACCCCAACTTTTAAATACATCCTAGGTTTTTGTAGAAATCATTTAAAAATGTGTAAATTCAACTTTATGGTCATTTTATAAGCTGCAGTTTTAGGTCCTAATAAATTGAGTAGCATTATGATGAGGTGTTTTGGTTAATATTTTGACCAACACATTGTAATATATGACAATATTAGGCTTAATAATACAGCATGTCTGTATAATTGAACACAGTTACTTGAGACCTGGAGCTACAGCCTCTAACATGACCATAAAGTTAAATCAGTTAAACATGTGACCTAACTTCCAAAAGACAGCATTTCTTTAAGGGTTGCTTTGACAAAATTTACCTCAATAAGTTGACAACTTTGCATGTACAAAGCTGTGAGCTTGTTTGCTCAGTTTATGAATGGGTTTAGTGTATCAAAGCGCACTTTAATGGGCGTGGACAAACTACAGGTCACGTCATTGTCATCTATTTTAGTGCGCTGAAGCTGCATCATGAATTATAAATCCCGTTACATATGCCCACCTGTTCTACAGAAGTGTGTTATGTAAAGATTAAAAAAAATGCAAAGTGCTCATATCTACCTTTTGGGTAGTTCACCACGTACACGACATTGCCCCATCCGTTTTCTGGCGCGTGTAGGACTCCTTCCACAAGACGCACTCCTCGCATGCACTGAGACACGGGGCTCCTGAACCGTAGGCCACACGCCCCTGGAAACTGAGCTGCCACCGTTGAAAGCAGAACCGTGCCGTCGTCCTCTGACGGGATCTCCATGGGTTCCTCGTTCTCCTCCTCTGCCACTCGGATATAAACTTCAGCCATTTTGCCCAAAAAGAAAACTTCTTTCTTGAATCAAAACAATGCTAAAGTTATAGCAGTTAGCTCGCTAGTAGTCCACGACTGCGGCTAACCTTAGCCGATGTTGCTAACACGTCTGAATGACTCAGGCTAACTGGTTAGTTGTGTTTTAGGATAAGACTCTCAAAATAAAATTCTATAACAAAAAAGGCGTCGGGGTGGGTTTAATTTTAAATGATTTCATAAATAATATCTCGCTATGAATGCGCTAACGAGCGTGCGTCGGCCTCACGGTTCCTTTGTTCGTTGGGACGTCAACACCGGACGACGACCATTCAACTGTGCCGCGTAATGAAAACTGCGTACGGTCCCCGTGTTAACTAATCCGACACACCGAGTTCCGCAGGTATCCTGCACAGGCTGGTGAAGTTATGCAACTTCAACGAAACGATCGTCTAGTCTCTGATGCACAATAGGAAATACAACGCGAAATATTTTTTCCACGAGGTGAAATATGAAGCCACTATGTACGGCCTACCAAAATGGCTTTATCCAGGCGAAAAGGGAACTACGTCATTAGATTGGGCCGTTTCATTTCATGGTGGTTACTGTACCGAGAGTGTGTTGTTAATATCGGCATATAGTTGAATCATTCGTCAGTATAAAGTTGTAAAGCCAACAATGCTGCATTAGTATATGTTTAAATGTACAGAAATAGTAATACAACTCAAGAACACTGCATTGTTGATTATATAAATAATTTCGCTCCCCCCCGTAACTGAGTGTGGTAGTCCAGGTTCAGAACGTCCACTTCAGCAGCTTCCGTTACCGTTAGCTAGTGATGTTGGTTGGCAGAGACGGGAAGATGGCGGGTCCTACGACTAGTATAAACCTTTAAATAAAAATCTACAACTTTGAGCCTAAATTCGACATTGACACGAAATGTTTCTTTTACAAGTTTTGATCAGAATGATTAACTTCCGATTTAAAAGGTTTTAATTTCTGTGCAACGTTCAGGTACATGTAAACACTGATGTAACATTGGTACATCTCAAACCACTGGCATTCAGTGTCATAAAATAAAATAAAAATCAGTGTCAACGCTTTGTTGTAACAACTGGATTTTTGTGATATGCAGAGGAGACTGACATTTTCTCTTTCTATTATAAAGTAAATTGCAAGAAAATCCGGTTGATATCAATCAGTTTAGCAAAAATGTCTAAAAAATCTTGTCGTCCAACAAGATTAATTTTTCATCATCTACTTTCTTAGACTACTTCTACTTTATCACTTTTTTAAACCTAGAAATAAGTAAAATCCTGTAAGTCTGACAAAAATGTGAGGTTTGATTTAGACAGTTTTATTTAATGTAAAACTAAAGTATTTTATTGTGCTAGTTTGTGACAGACACCTATTTGTAAAAATTAAATGCAGTGTTGGAGAGTAACTGATAATCACAAAATGAATGTACTTGTTATCAGTTACAGTCACTGACAAAAAAAAAAATATGGAACTTAATTACAGTTAGTAATCAAATTGTTTGTGAGTCCAAAGGGGTTTCATCCAAATATTTTAATTAAATTGAATTTATTTATTCATTGGTAAAAAGTTAATATGCAGAATACTTATTCTGTTGCTTTGCATCTTTTCGAACCGTCTTTTGGCAGAGCTTATTTCTATACATTTTTAATCTTTTTTTTTTTTTTAATTTTTATATTTTTAGCTTTAGCCCAGTTTAACACATTTGTTAGAAAATTAATCAAAAAGTAATCAATGGAATTAGTTACCTTAATGAAGTAATTAAAGTGGTTACATTTCTTATTACATCTACAAAAAGAGCCTTCCCAGCACTGAGTATTTAGTAGTAAAATTATGAGGAAAAAAATTTGAGAGCTGCCACAAGGCAAAAGTAGAGAGTAACATCCAGAAAACTAATTCATTCACTTACAAAACTGTTGTTATGGTAGTCCAGTGGTATCAGTGTTTAGTAGATTTAGTTCTGGATAGATGAGGTACAAATCTAATGAGCAGACCAAAAATGTTTCATGGTTTTAAAAAGTAAGTCAGCCAGCCCACAGACCTCAGACTCCGAAATACGTAATGCCAAACTGCATTCTTAGAATGAACTAGTTGTTTTTTATTTTTAAATTTGGTCTTGTGTTGCTTGCCTAACTTTAATCCCTGACCCGCCTGATCAATGTTGAAAAAGGATAGCTTTACTTTTTACCAGAGAGCAGAGAAATGTTAAATCTGTGCGACACATCAATATACATAAACATCCAATGCATCTTTTAGACTCAGCTCGACAAAAAGAGATCTCAAACAGCTTTTTATTACATTTTCCAATCAATAACAGTACAATTTAGTACAGTATCTATCTTGCATCCAGCTCACCGTGTAACACCAACAGACTGAAATGAAATACAAAAAGTGAAAAGGTACATAAGGGTGCAGAGCTCTATAATATTAATGGAAAGAGAAAAGGGAATCCATCTCAGTTGAATTGCATTTTCACTTGTGGCCACACACGAATACATCACATTTATTGTACATCATCGCAGAAAAAAAAAGAAAAAAAGAAAAGTGAAAATATGTCACAACTTTAACAAAAGTGCTTCTGTATACAGTGAAATGTTGTCATTCAGATGCTCTGATTTTCAATTTAAGACCCAAGAAATAAAAATGTACAAAAGTTTTTAGTATGGACAGTATGTGAGGACGTATTTGTTCCATTGAGTGTGAAGATTTGAAGGAGAGAAAAAGGACTTGTCAAGGATAGAATTCTCACAATGATTGTTATAATTATTACAAAAAATTGGCATCAATAGAACTGGTAAGCATAATTTACACTAAGTATGCAGTCAATATTAAGTCTGTCTCCATTCTTGCTCACTCTGGTGCATAGCGTTACCAGTATTAGTACATGATGTATGCAGAATTTGAGCCAAAAAAAATTTGGCTTCTATTAAGTTCAATCAATAGGTTACTCTCCTTTTCAGAAACAAACAAACAAAAAAAAATCTAAGGATTTTGCACCATTGAAAGCAAGTCTACAGCATGCACATCTAAATTAACTCATGGCAGACAAAATTAAATGTCTTAACTTAAAACATCAGACCATTATTTTCAGACATTGATTTGTACATTTCATTCACAGAGTTGCAACTGCAGTCCCAAGCAAAGGAAGTGTCTATTTAGTCAGGTGAGGTGTTTCACTCAAAGTGGATACTAAACACAATCCCCCGTCCATATAATAAAATCCAGCCATGCCCCGATTATCTCACCACCTACTTTGCTACCCCACCCCGTCCCACCCAAAGTCAAAGGCATGTACAAGAATTAAGGGGGTTAACTGGATAAGTTACTCGTAATAACTCCTTTTGTACTGGAATGAGCATTCATAACTTATAGCATGTGCTTGGTTAGTTAACATAGTATTAGTTGAGAGGCAAAGCTTCTTCATGTGCAAAAGGCTGTGATGAAACAAAAACAGCTAGTATATAAATACATCATGGACATTTTGAAAGCTGCTCGTGTAATATGATCCAAGCTTTTACTTGCATTACTTGCTGCATGTTTTCTCTCATCTGTCTTATATGATTTTAACTGGATTAGAAAGACAAGCTGTAATTCAAACATATCTAAAACCACTAAAGAAATATGACAAAAAAAAAGAAAGCCATCAAGAATAACAAACCATCAGAATAGAATTCTTAAAAAAAAAAAAAAAAAAAAAAGTTAAATAATTTGTACAATTACACTCCAACATTTGCTTTCAAGACGCACACATTTGCATGGGATGATAGTGTTGTTTTTCTCTTTCAAGGTAACATAAAATGGTCCAAGAAGGAATGCACAAGTTTCTGATTTGATACCACAGGAGATCCTTTCTTAACTAGGTGATAAACAATTGTGCTCTTCTTTGTGTAGGAAAGGCATTGGTTTCCCTTCGTTTTTGTGGTGTCCAAGTCAGTTTAAACAGTGTTGAAGAAGATGCTGTGAACATTCTGAAGTTGTAATGGTCTTCCAGTCAACTTTGGAGTTAAAAGAACATCTGGGAAACAAAGACAAATGAAATTTAGAATTTAGTTTTTCTAATTTCATCTGCTTTTTCACCAATTTAACCTGTTAAGTGTAGTTTAAGACCTAACTATGGACAAAGATCTAACAAAAAGCTATCTAATCACACAGACTGACAGGAGGCTGCCTGTGGTCATTGTAGGTACATCTGCAATCAGCTTACAGTTATTTATAGGGATGTCCTGATCTGATCTCAAAGATTGGTATCGACGCACCATAAACAAAAATGCAGTATGAGAATGTTTATTTACTCTCTTTACACAAGTTACATGTACATGTTTAATTTTCAACGCAGTGTGTTGCATCCTGGTGCTTGGAAGAGATACAGACAGCCGTGCAATCTTAGAACAACCACACTCGCCACGTCATTTCAAGTGCAACAAAAGCCTCGTGAGCAAAATCCAATGTGAGTAATTTATAAATGTAGCCTAATTTGCGCAAAAGATGTACAGAAGACAAAATAAAAAAAACACTCAATGGAATAAAGTCTGCTCAGGTAACTCAGACGCAGGCTGCACCAAATGAATATACACTGGATACTCTCTTAAAAGGGACAGAGATTTCCTCAAGATGGCGACAAGGCTAAAAAGAGAGTTTGTTATTTTGTATAATAATAATAATAATGATAATAATAAGCTAATAAAAAGCTAATAAATAATAAAAGAACATCTTGGATGCAGGGAATTGTTTTGTTAATGCGTAACAAAGCTGTACATTTATTTGTGTTGTTGTGCATTGGCTATACATTGGATTGAGTTTAATAACTTAAAGTACTTGAAGTGTTCACAGTGCAGTTGTATTATCTAGGAAAATATAATTATTGGATCAGGATTTGGTATCGGCAGATACTCAGTTTTAAATGACTCGTACTGGGATAGAGGGCAAAAAAACTTGATCATGATATCCCTAGTTATTTCGCCTTTAGTCGAGCCTGCCAAATCTAAAGCATTATTTGCACAGGACAATTATTACCTGGGAACTTCTAGTAGTTTGAAATACTTGCGGAGGTTGTGCATGATCTTAATCCTGTGCGAATCTGCCATGTCTGTAATTTGTCAGGTAAAAATTCCACTGCAAATTACCTACCATATTTTGCCAAACAAAGTATGTGATCCAGTGAACTGGCATCCTAGTCATTTGGGGTTGTTTTTTTTTTTGTTTTGTTTTTTTTGCAAGTTTTTTTGTTTTCTCCGCACCTTTTTTTCTACCCTTTTCCATGTTGAGAATTATGGAGGCTGCTCTGGCAGTTATATATGAAAGATTTGACGGCATTTTGAGTGCAGGAGGTTCATCGAGCTACACAGCATGGAGACCCTTGCATAGAAAGAGCAAGCTGAAGTCTGAAATGACATGCACGGCAGCATCCTGTAAGAACAGCTGCCACTAACGATCATTTTCATTGTCGATTCATCTTTAGATTATTTGATCGTTTAATTAATGTTGATCAGTGTTTCCCAATGCCCCAAATGACATCCTCA